TGACGCATATTTCCTGTTGAAAAAAATCCACGGGGTCTCTTATGTTATCCCCAAGACGACTTGAAGGCGAAAGTCCAAGCGCCGATGCATTAAAGACAGACACGTGATTTACTTCCCTTTGACTCTTCTTAATTCGCTTTATAGTCCTTCTTAATTTCATTGCCTCTAATTCGCCTGAGTGGTCACGTAAACGTGATAGCCAACTACAGGTTTTACTTGAGCTAGTTGGTACATACTTGAACCACCGAAGGCAGCACTCTCTCTAACGACGCACTTTTGGCGCCGTTTCATTGGCTCACTCGGATCGTGGCGTCGGCTGTGGTCCAGTTTAGAGCACTATATAGCTCCTTCGGAGCAGAGTAGCGTAGAGTAACTGTATAGGCTCTGCTTGCAGAGCCAGAGTATCGCGTTCCTTTTCCTTTCGCCGCCATCTCCGTATTGGCGGAGGAGTGGGCACGTGGGCAGAACTGGATCCGACTTTGGTGCGGGAAAGCGGCCTTCCAGAGCGCCGAGTTTCGGGGGAACATATTTTCCGCTTTGAGTTCGCAAGATATAGATCCTAGACTAAAATCGAACGAACCGAAAGCTTAATAAGTCATTGAACATTATGTGCGTCAACTGGGTACAATACAATCATGTTTTTTTTTATAACGCGAGCGATGTTTTAGGACATCCGTTTCCAAGGTATGGGAAGCAGACGACACGGCCGACGATCGCGTAGCTCGCGACTGCGGCTCTCGCGGAGTGATACGCGATGCGCGACCGGCACATCCGGCCATCTCGGCGAGTCGGCGAGCTCTCGTCCGAAAGCGAGGGGACGGCGTTCTCGTCAGCCGCACTATTTTCCTTACGCAGCGCGCCGCAGCACGCCACAGCACGCCGCCTCGCGTCTGCGCCTTCGTGTCCCCTGCAAAAACCGACCTTGGCTTCCCGCAGTGCTTGGCTCCAGAATGGCACCATTGCGGTACTCTGCTCCGCAAGCGGAGCATATACAGGCTATGTTCCAGATCTTACCCGAGTAACCTGCCTCCTACGTCAGCGGGTAATACCACGTGACATCGCGAGTAAACGATCCGCGACTCGATTTTGGAACGGCCAGGATAATCACCTGGATACTACGCGGATTGGCTTCGTCTTGGGCGACGGCAAAAAGAAAACACAGCGGCGATGGCCGAAAATAGCAGACGGTCCTTTTGATCATGGAGAAAGCACCCGAAGAACGGTAATGTTAATGACGACGCGGTGTATTTTGAGGTGGATCCACCAGCTCCTTTACTCACCTTCGTTTTGAGCTGTGTATTGAGATCAAAATGACTTACTCCTTACAGCTAGACAAAAAGATGTGTTTTTATTAATCAGCGCGATCGCTGCAATTCTAGTCACGGTGCCCTAAACGCATATATTCCACGCATTGTAATTTGCACCAATTATGTTTTGCAGAAATATATTCCACACGGTGTAGCGGTACAGCGCGAGGGTGCTTTCTCCAGAATGATATGAAACTCACGTTCGCTTTGACGCGAATGTGATTACAGTGAAATTTTCGAAGTCTTCACTGCTTTACAAACGTTATCCTCTCATTACACACACTCTGGAGGAAACAAAAATATTACATTATCATATGCCGAGTTCAAACATTTTCGGCCTTGAACGTGAGATTACGGCATTCCCCCAACGCCGAGGACGAGGATGCGGAGAAGCTCCTGTTTACGCTCGCACTCAGAAAATAACAAGTACACGTTCCCGGGGAAGGTGGGCGGTCTGGATGTAATGCAGTCAATTCCTGCGTTGACAACAGCAAATCGCAATAAACACACATGCTGCACCTAATTCTTTGTCATTTCGAACGTCCGCCACCAAAACCAACGGAGCAAGCGAGCTTTGACGGCTGTCGGCGCAGAAAGCAGACGACGAACAGATCACGTGACGTACTTACTCGATTTGATCCGACTTTACCCCCCGATTGAGGAGGGTAGCGCGAGTAATTACTCCGGAGTAAACAACCCGCTTCTGGAACGCGAGTTCTGACGTCATCGAGTAAGCTCGAGTAAGTTTTGGAACGCCACGGTACGAAACTTTTACTCCGGAGTCGGATCGAGTAAATTTTGGAACACAGCCTGTTACTCTAGAGTAGCGCAATCTAGAACGCCGCCTCTCGGCGACTAGCGGCGAACGCCCGGAGGTTCCAACTGCGGTCAGAAATGCATGGAGAACGTGAGAAAATCGTTGTTTCTCCAGTATTGTGGGAATGTACGGAATCGCAATCATTTTTGACATAATAATGGAACACTTTAGAATAATTTGCGCAAAGTTTTGTGCCCCGCAAGGACTTGACTTTTTTTTAAAAATTGCCTGACAGGCATCATGCAGCAGACGACACGGCGACGTCACACCATTCAAGTGACCCGCTCCGGCCAACCCGAAAAGCCCATCTCCGCTGCGAGCAAAAATCGTCTGCTTCAAACGCCATTGCCTTGGAAATTGCCTTCTCAAAATTTGCACACGCATCCGATATTGTTAAAACTTTGATAAAGTGTTTAGTGCTTTACTAACTTCACGACAGACTAGTTTTGAAAAGTGTGAACTCGCCGTTCATTTTATAATCAGCCGTGTTATGTCGATCTCCATGTATTCTCCCATAGGGCGGGCCGCCTCCTGGAACCCTGAGTACCACGTGACTCGCGCCGAGCCGCTCTGTCGGCCATGTTGTCGGCAAAACACAGAGTTCAAAGGATTGCGCTACTCAGAGGGCAGATTCACGAAGAGCTTCTTAGTTTACGACAACTTAGCTAAGAAGTTCGTAAGTTACGAACATCGTAAGAAGAGGAGAAATCGGTATTCACGAACGCGTTCTTAAGTGAAAGGAGGAAAGCGACGTTGTCTACGGAAAAACTAAAACTTACCGGTGCTGTTGCTATGGCGACGGCGTCTTCGGCAGCACGAACAACCAATCGGAGAGCTCGGCATTTGTTCGGAGCCGTTCGGAGCCGTTCGGAGCACGTGGATTTTTCATAACAAACACAGGCGGCCTTTCTGCCACCGCTGTCTGGGGTTCGTATCCATGCAGTGATATGTCGACGCTAACACGATTTAAACTCGCCCGAATGCCGAGGCCGGGGTGCGTAACCACCCCCATTGACTGCTACGAACTCGATCGCTACCAAGTCAACACAACTGTCATCGTTGGTAAAAGACGGCCCGCAGTCGTTTGCAAAGCGACGTAGATGGGAACAAATCGCCGCGGCGTTTTTTGCGGCCTCGGAGATGCAGGAGCGAGCTGACGTTAAAAAAAGATACGTTTGAACTACGACAGTGTAAGCAAGAGCCACGCAAATGCCTGTTCACACTACGGAGCGGACGCGCGTGTTTGATCGAAGTGCTGGATTTGCGCTGTTGGACCGCGAATTGATAAGCGCTTCGGGACCGATGCTGACGTGACACCCGGCGAAGAAAGGTTCGACCGGCATTGCGACCCACGAACTGTTACAGCGATCGACAGTGAGGTGCAGTCGTGTCAGAATAAAATGGAATTCTAATAACAAAGTGTACATACCATGTTGCGAAGGTAATCCATACGGCGTTTATTTGAGCTTAATATCACACAAAACAGAGATAGAATCGATGAGAGCCCCTTTTCGACGACAGCGTTCGTTACCGTTGCCTCGGAAAACAAGGAGATGACAAGAGGAAGAGATTGACCTCTTAATCTAGAATTGAGGTCAGCGATCAAACTATAATACGGGAAGGGTTCACAAGGGTCGCGCGGGCATATTCCACTCAGCACGCCAGCCGGTCGTGGGTAGACGGTCTTCGCCAAGGACCGTCAGATCATGGCTGCGACAAGTCGGAGTGCCTGCTAGGCCTATCTGCCGATCGGTCGGAGTCCGTACTCGTGGCCCTTGGAGTTTTTCCCGGGTGTCTGTGGATCCAGCGTTCTTGTTCGTTCGTCGTGGTCTGTTTCGAGTACTTTTTACTTGTTTCTTGCTGCTTGAAGTCGGGACGCGTGAGAAGCGCACGTAGAAAAATAAACATCCGTTGGTTGTCCCGACCAACTGAGCGACGCTGTCGGCCATGCTGATTTGATCGTAAGAAGTGCGTAAGACAGCTTCGGAGCTGTCGTAGGATTTCGTCGTAACCTGCGCAAAACTTACGAAAATTTCGTTTCGTGAATACGGATTTGTTCTTAAGTTTTGTCTTACGCACATTTTTGGCGTAAGATCGTTTCGTGAATCTGGCCTCTGCTCCGTAGGAGCTATATAGTGCTCTAGTCCAGTTGATAGCGAACGTCCGAAGACAGCGCGCTCTCTGACGGCGCACTTATGGCGCCGTTTCGTTGGTACCTTTCGTTTTGGTACGCTGCGCGACACTGTTAGCGCGAACACGACATCGGCACTTTTTCGAATTTTACTTTCAAATGTTCACAGCAGGCAGCAGATTTTTTTCGCCAAGGTTGGTGCCCCAAATGAGCACTCCCCACGACAGTAGTAATTTTGATGAGAGCCGCTTGACCGGCTTGACTCGAAGAGGGAAACAGAAACCGGCGATCGCTTGTTCGTGCTAACAGTGTCGCGCTCTGTACCTTTTGCGTCGCAGACGTGTTTTGTGAAGGTCGACTGAATGATGAGACATATAAGGCTATCGCCTTCATAAAATTTTGATGTAGTCAGTCAGTCATTCAGTCAGTTGAACCAAATTCGTTATAAAAGAGTGCGAGCACCCATTAGAGTGCCTCTGGTACCGTATAAAAACCTTAACGCTAGGTGGCGGAAGCTACCTCCTATTATGAAGGGTGCTGCGTTTTATTTACTTATCCATGTGTTTAGCAGCACAGTCGCTGATCAGTACCGCTAAAATATTGTTCAGCTGTGTAGCTTTTCATTTGATTATAAAAATAGGTTTATAAGCAATAATTCTAATTAAAAAATAAAAACAATTATTCGGAAATTATATTGGCGTCAAACACCGTCCAATTTCAAGAGTAGTGAAACACATTCATCACATCTATTCATTCAACCTTTTTAACATGGCCGCTCTCATGACTGAAATTCAGAGCTCCGAACGCGATCCAACATTCGAGGATTTACAGCTCAAAAAATGGATAATCGACCAGCTAAACTCGCTAGGTGAGTGAGGTTGGTCATATGAACGTAATTAATCGTACCTCGAAAAGCTCGGAGCTTTGGGAGTTGCACGTGGCTTGTTCCAAAGTTCCGCGCGCTGACAGTTGACAATGTTTGTGCATTTCAGGCATCAAGAAACCCTCGCCCGTCCAGCAAAATTGCATCCCTTCCATACTAAAAGGAAAAGACTGCATCGGGTGCGCCAAAACTGGGAGCGGCAAGACCCTCGCTTTCGCGCTGCCCATTTTACAGAAGCTCTTCGAAGACCCCTACGGCATTTTCGCCTTGGTGTTGACACCGACCCGTGAGCTAGCCTTCCAGATCTCGGAGCAATTCAAAGTGATCGGAAAAGCCGTCGGTCTCAAGGTAGGTATCGCCGTGTCCCGTTCGCGTGTCCGCACTGCCACAGCGTTCCTTGTTCCCTCGCCGGCCAGGACTGCGTGATTGTGGGCGGCATGGACATGGTCACCCAGGGCAGGCTCCTCGCAGAGAGCCCTCACGTGGTGGTGTCGACGCCGGGGCGCCTGGCCGACCACCTGGAGAGCTGCAACACCTTCACGCTAGGGAGGATCAAGTTCCTCGTCTTGGACGAGGCTGACAGACTGCTCGAGGGACACTTCAACGAACAGGTAACTTACAGAGACCCATCGTCTGCCTTCAGCTTGATTCCTGCTCTCTCTGGGCAAGCATCCGGACAAGATGCGATTCACACATGTGGCAGTTGTATTCCAAGGACAGCAACTGTATTGAGCCTTGTGCCGTTTCCGTTGTCACGAATGAGTGACTCCCCAGAATCCAAACACACTATAAACAACGCGATTTGTGCAATGCCTCAGTTGATTGAAACATAACCTGAGTGGTGTCACGAGCCAGGATCGGAGAGGAAGCGTCTCAAAGTAAAAACAATGCAACTGCACTTGTCCGGCAGTTACCGGTGCTCCTCACATAATTTTGCCCCGACAGTGAGATTAAAGGGACACTGACAGGGTATTTATGCTCGCCAAGGTTTTTATTTGTATGTGACGTATGAGAACCCAACTACCCAGAACACAATTTGCGACTGAAAATTCGTTTTCTTTCCACTCGAAAATTGACGATCGAGAACTGGCTGTTTTGAGTCGTGCTCACTCTCTTCTCCTTGGTCACGTGCCGTTTTCTATGGTTTAAACACAACCAGCAAATAAAATGAAAGTTGTGGGTCATCGAAGGCACACACTCAATTTTAGAAATAGAAATGAAATATGATACCAATTTTTTGTGGCTTCTAAAAAAAGCTGCAAATACGTTGATTGAAGAAAAAAAAGTTGCACAGCCACGTGACTTCCGCCAACTCTCCTCTTTTATATTTCTTGTTCTTCCCCAGTCCTGTTTTGGTTTTGAGGAGTTGCGTTTTTTTACTTTATTAAAATTATATGCGACACTGCAGCAAAATAGTAATTGGGTAGTCATCTGCCACGATAATAAATCGCCTGGCAAAAAATAAAACAAATATTTTTTTTTTTTGGGGGGGGGGGGGGGGGGGTAGTGTCCCTTGAAGTGCTTTACACATTGGGTTAAAATTGCTCAAAAAAGTTTCATACACCAGCTCTTGTTTCCAATGATGCACCATACAGCAAGGCTGCCTCAGGTCTACAAATCTATACTCATAATAGCAGTTACAGAGCAATTACTGCTTGAGGCAGTATGTTGAAACCAAAATGTAGACGTGGATGTTTCCAGCGACCCAACTGAATCCTTTGCTAGGCAAGTGAGGGCTGAAATGCAATGACTGGTGCCACGCGGCGACTCTCCGGCACCGGCAAGTTGACCTGAGCGAGAGTCCTTTTTTCGCTTGCAGCTGAAGACTATATTTTCTGCCCTGCCCAAAAGCCGGCAGACGCTGCTGTTCAGTGCCACCATCACCAAAACACTGGAGGAGCTGCGGAGCGTTGCGATGACCGACCCTTTCTTCTACACTGCTCCGGCGGAGGTGGCGACGGTGGAAGAGCTGGACCAGCGCTACGTGCTCACGCCGAGTCATGTGCGGGACGCCTACCTTGTGCACGTGCTGCAGCGGTTCCTGAACTCCGTCCCAAAGGGCTCCGTCGTCATCTTCACGAGCACCTGCAAGTATGCAGCCTCATTGCGTCTTGCAATTATCGTACACGTAAGACCGGGATGATGAAGGATGAGACTGTAACTGTTGATCTTATGGAGGCATTGACCTTTGTCAAACTTTGGAGGTAGCACCCTAAGCTTGACTCAAAGCATTTTAATAACGAAACAAGGGTATGCGGAGTGCAAGTTCGTCTGCTTCTTGAACAGAGGTTGCGATGACGTCGGAACGCTGAGCTTTTATTCGTTTGATTGAGAAAAATAGTGGGTAGAGCTCAAGGCATCTAGCATTGAGGTCTACCCGCTATCCTTCCAATCAAAGCCATTCAGAACTCTGCGTGATTCTGACGTCACCTCAACCCGTGCTTAAGAGGCAGATGACTTGATCTCCACATTCCTGTGCCATTCATGTTGGCATAATTCGGCTGCCTGCCCGCTCGATTTATGCTCCACTGGCTAGAGTTCGAGTCCCAGCCAGTGAGAATATTTTACGGAATGTGTTACATTGTATATAGTTGGCTTCTATAGTCACGGTCATGGTGAAAATGGTGTCTCTTTCAAACGTCCGACCTCCAGCACTCGGTTGTTGCCTTTCAGCGTGCTTTGGCTGCGCGCATATTTTCGACACTTGCAACAACTTTGTGCTCACCGGTCCACGCCTTAATCTTCTGTTCTTTTAAAGTAATTTTTGTTAACCTCGGAGTGGGATTATTATTATTCTTTTATTTCCTCCCCACTTAGTGACAAACTTTTGTGCTCCACTCTTAATGGAGTGCTGACTTCGGCAACGCTTTCTTTCAGAAACGCTATGCACAAAGTGAAACTCTGCTCCTGCCTCATATAGTGAGGGTAGGGGTGTTTCAAAACGAAAATGCTGTAACCGCCGGGTCGCTGCAAAAGCGACTGCTCACCCAACCCTAGGGTCAGTCAGCGTGTTGTTGGCTGTTTGCTACCCGATTATTTGTTGGCACAAGTTCGTCCGATGGGACATGTTTTTGCGGTTTTTTACCCGGAGCCTTTTCAAGAGATTCACTAAAGAAGAATGCAGCAAGGTAAAAGACGGCAAAATGAATCTCTAATCGGGTGAACTTGTGCCTGCAAATAATTGAATGGTGAACAACTGACGTCAACGTCAAGATATAGAATGGACCTCTGGCCAGATCAGCCTTGGCTTCCGTAGCGTACCGGAGGTCAAGCAGTTTTAATTGGAACGGCCTCGCTGTTGGTTAAAAAACCTTACCAGAAGCGGTGACGAGATCATTAAAAATGTAAAAAAGTGATACAGAAAAGAAAGCATTTTAAATGTTTCACACACGCTCTGAGCCTCATCAGTGTGTTGACTAGGATGCCCATGTTTTGCCGAGATCTTTTGTACAGGACGAAATGTCGTAGCAAGGTCTCGAGTAAAACTCCTCATACTTTTGTTTTGTGTCGATCTCTGGCGTGGCGACAGCTTCGTACGTCGTGAACATATGAAATTAGGATTGTGAAGCAACGAGAGGCCGTGTCTGTCTCGTGCTCCAGGAACTGCCAGGTGCTGTCCATGGCGCTGAAGTCCCTGGGTTTTGCCAATGTGGCGCTGCACTCCCAGCTGCCCCAGAGGGAGCGGCTCGCCGCTTTGGCCAGCTTCAAGTCCAACACCACTCGTGTCCTGGTGGCCACAGATGTGGCCAGCAGAGGTGAGTGCGCCGTTAGCGCTTCCTGCATGTGGTGCTAGATGGCAGTGCCCTCTACCCTTCAAGGGAAGCTGAAGAGGTTTTTGAGATCAACAAGTTAGAGTTGAATTCTGAGTATTTTTATCCTGTGAATATGAATATCACGTTCGTTTTCTCTGAAGGTATAAGTAAACGTGAGAAAACACGAAAAACCTTCGACCAGTCGTTGCGTCATAAAAGGATCTTTCGGCCGCCAAGCGCATGTCGCTCGTGTGGGCAGCGCATGCAATTGCAAGCTTAACAGGTATATTCCCCCTCAGTCACACCTGTCGAGACACATTTTTCTGACCTTTTTCAAAATAGCAAGAGTGCGCGCGCATAGCTTTGATAGGCGCTGAAGATGCGCGAGAGTGAAAACTCCCTTTTATGATGTAACGCTCTGGAAAGGTAGTTCGAATATAATTTCACCTACCTACAATGTTTGGTGTGTTCCATGTGTTTTCGTTTGTTTATTTTTTGTAGTGTGTGCCTCCCTTTAACAGTGCCCCCAAAAAGCGATTTAAATATTGTAAACAGGAACTGTTCTGAGAATAGTCACTGTTTGAGACTCATGAGCATATCGATGATTACGGTCAGAACATTCCAAGAGTAAGGGAAATTAGCAAATACATTTTCTTTGACTCAAGTGCTCAGAAGAAGCAAATGGAACAACTTCTTGACATGCTGATCATTCTAACCTTAATAGGTTCATAATCATGCAGATACCAATGGGAACCTCAACCACAAATCTTTCTGGAATTTCTGAAGTGATGTGGGAGTTACATTCCCTCAATGGCATCCCAGTGCATATAAAGTGATGGTTTTAGACTAGGGGTCTCCAAACTCTTTGGCAAAGGGGCCGGATCAGGTATCTGTCACCCTCTCGAGGGCCGGAAAATAAATAAACAAATAAATAAATATTTTTAGATGAGAATTTAAGTAAAACGTAAACGTTCGCGCGAAAATTAAAAAAAGAATCTGAGGCGGATGAATACATATACTTTATTTTTAAGTTCAGTATATAGCTAGTGATGACATTACACAATAATTGGGACCCAGAAAACTCATCAGGCATAAATCAAAGGGCATAGGAACTTTGGCATATTCACACAGGGCAGAAGGCCAATGATAGAACTGACGCTATGCAATCGATACAACTCAGGACACTAAGCATGATGCATGTGGGAACGCAAAGGAATTTGAACATAGCCTTATGTAGTTACACATATATAAAACGGGGGCTAAGAATGGTAACGCTGGTGATGACAGGTTTAATTAATTATATGACGTGAGGACACAATAAAAAGATTTTTCTCTTTTTTACTGCATATCTTCGTTTACGCAGCTGATGCACGTTGAAGCAGTTTCTTTACCTGCGCTTATTTTTGCGGCAGTAGCAGCAGGCCTGCTGGTCGTGGGGCCGGGCTCAGGGATGTAAAGTAGCTACTAGGTACAAGTAACTGGAAATCGGTATCTAGGTGCTTTTGTTGCACCTGAACTACAAACCTAGGTACTTTCATTTCTCGGTATCTGTATCTGTATCTTAGATACATTTTCCAGTAACTTGTAACTAAGTGAAGTTATTTTTTACAGGTACTTTTCTGTTCACTTCGTCAAAATGGTAGAAACTATAAATCTTGAAGTATTATCACACTACCATGTGCCGTGATTAACGTTGAGTTGGGTACCATTTGGGAGGCACTGACTTGATCGAACGACGTTTCAGCGAACGAAGCCCCGCCCATGATGTTTCATCGAACGACACTTTAGCGTATGACGGTGTTCATTTGAGCGAATGGTGGGTTAGCGATGCCGTTCTAGCGACACCAATTTATTGAATCACTTCGGAACAATGTTTAGGGAAAATAGCGACCTGTTCCTTCATCCGAAACCGAAAAAGATAACATGCCCTGGCATGCTCATGTGAATGCGGTTTTCCCTAATTCGCACATTGACACCAAGAAAGCACATTTATCAAACTCATTTTTGTGTGTATCCTTAGTATAAAAAGCTTTACTTTCAGTATATTCCGACAAATTTTGGGAAAATAAATAAAGTATCTTCGAAGTAACTGTACCTGTTCCTAGGTACATTTCTAAGCAAGTACCTAGGTACTATGTACCTAGGTGCCTTTTCGTATGAGTAACTGTAGCAAAAAAAATTGTAAGGGTGCAGGCGAGCTGGTGGAAGTTAACCATAGTTTTGTTTAACCCGAGACTGGGGTAGTTCGGAAAAGGGACGAGAAGAAAAGAGGCCACAAGGAGGCGACGTCTCAAACACAGCTAAGGATTTTATTCCATCGTATGCACTTTTATACACACCACGTCCACACACCACCAACCACGTCGACCAATGACAACATAACACCCGGAATACACTAAGCCAAACATAGGCCCAAAACATTACAAAAGAAAAATCTTTCAGCCAGACAAAAGGACAAGATAAGCCTCCAACTACACAAATTCTACAAAGAACCGTTAAAAGGTTTTTTCAAACCCGCAAACACACGGAACCAAAGGGAAAGAGGGCATACAAGTCCTAATTACACAAAGCCAAGCAACAAACCATTAAACTAGCCAATACTGAATCACCGTTAAAAAAAAAAAAAAAAAAAAAAAAACGGCAATCGGTCATTCTAACCCACACTACACATTGAAGGAAAGCGGAAGAGGGTAACCATGAACCAAAATACACAAAGGGGAGAATGCAAAAGTTCCAACCTCAACTACACACTTGAAAGAAGTAACAAGGAATACCAGAACAAACAATATGTCCTGCACCTGTACTGCATCTTTGTAGGCAGCGCACAAAGTGCTGGATAGCTAAAAAAAAACAAAAAACGGGGGGTTTACATTTTGAGGAATTTTCTTGAGCTTTCTCCTAGATGCATTGATGGCTGGCTAATACAATTTCCCATCGACTTAATTCGGACTGTTTCCTTCACTACCCTTTTTATCTCATTTTCCTCTCGATGTATTACCTCCGTTTCCGACCAAAACACCTTACAATTGTTGCACTCAGACACGTGCTTGGCGATCTCCGAGTTCGGTGCCCTGTTTTTTACATTTCTTTTATGCTCGGTCAGTCTGTCATTCACGCACCGCGAAGTTTGCCCCACATATCTAAAACCACATGCTAAGGGTATCTCATAGACTACACCTCCTTTGCAAGCCACTGACCTGTCCTGATGTTGCCTTCTGCATTCCTTTGGAGGTGCAAAGAACGGAGTCATCCTGTTTAATTTGTAATCAGATGAAAACACTACGTCAACTTCAAATCTGTGAGCACTCGCTTTAAGGTTATGCGAAACACTGTGGTAGTACGGGACTACGGCAACCTTTTTACTTCTTTCTCTCGTTGTTCCATTTCTCTCGCCGAAACTTGGGGAGAGCTGCCTCGTGATGAAAACTTTATCATAACCCGCATCCTCTAACCTCACCCACTGCCTTTTGAGGGCTTGGCCTACATAATGAAGACATGACTTCTTTAGAGCGTTTCCGATTATTGATTTGACCACCCCAGCCTTCACAGTCTTGAATGGCAACTTCTTCTACTTAAAACTGGCTTTGCCGATTCTTTTCCGTACTCCCAGCACACTCCTTCTTGCACGTGAATACGTAAATCTAAAAACTGCAAAACTCCTCTGTCTGGCCCTTCAACAGTAAAGATAAGTTCCAGTGCTGAGGCTCTCACCAGACTCTCTATTGCTCCCGTATCCTTCCCATGAAAGCTCATGACCACAATGTCATCAACATACCTTCTCACTAAAACTTCACCCGACCCCCAAACTGCCAGCCTTTCCGAGATTGCATTATCCAAAGAGTTTAAATAAATTTCTGCCAAAATAGGTGCCACCGCAGACCCAATACACACACCCTTCTTTTGAATCCACATGCGTTCCTTGAACTCCACTACCGTGGCTTTAAGATAAAGATCCAGGATCGCTAAAAAACTATCTACCGGAATCCCCGTACCTGATTAAAATTTTACCAAATTACGCTCCAAAGCCTCTCTAACCCTACTCATCAACAGCTGTTTTTCAAGAGAAGAGAATAGTACAGATCTTTAATGTCCATCGAGATCAACGAGCATTGCCTCCCATGGTGAGCATCTAAAATCTGAACAAAATCGTCTGAGTTTCTTAACGAAAGACTGTTTTCCAATCTAGCGAAGTCTAAACCTTTTTGAAGAAACTTCGAAACCATGCTTTGCCACGTTCCGTTCTCATTAATAACCGTGCGGAACGGCATTTCCGGCTTGTGGTCCTTTAAGAAGAATTTTAAACTTAAAGTGCTTTTCGGCTGATTCAGGACTTTCCTGGCTAAGGTCTCTAAACCCTCGTCTTTAATTAAGTGTAGCTGAGATGTCCTTCCTTAATTTTCCCAACTTGCCTTGCCATGCCATGAATACCGAGTCCAATGCCTCTGTTGACTTTTTTTCAAAAACCGCCAATGGAAGGACGGCAAACATACCGCTCTTATCGGTCTGTAACAATTCCAGTGATCTAGATTTAAAGTCCTTTCTTACTTCCGTGATAGCCTGAAAATTCCTCCTGTCTTTTTTATGCGAATCATCCACAACTCTTTCCATTCTACTGACCGCGTAGTCCACAAAAGCAACCCTTTCGTCTAACCCTACTTTTCTAGCAATTGTCTGGATCGCGGAAAAAACATCTACTCTCGACGGTTTTACATTTACACAAAACTTCGGTCCTCCTCTCAACAATTCCTCCGTCCTCTCTGTAAATGCGACTTTACAAGGATTCACAATACCGCACCTCCGAGCCCCAGCGGATTGGTCACCATTCACAAAACTACAACTATTTCCAAACCCAACATTTGACCTTTTTACAGCGTCCAACACTAATCTTCGTCGCACATACCAGTTTCGTTCAAAATGCTGTCTTCTTCCTGTGTCCCACACAGGAAGAAGAATTTTCAGGCTATCACGGAAGTAAGAAAGGACTTTAAATCTAGATCACTGGAATTGTTACAGACCGATAAGAGTGGTATGTTTGCGGTCCTTCCATTGGCGGTTTTTGAAAAAAAGTCAACAGAGGCATTGGACTCGGTATTCATGGCATGGCAAGGCAAGCTGGGAAAATTAAGGAAGGACATCTCAGCTACACTTAAAGACGAGGGTTTAGAGACCTTAGCCAGGAAAGTCCTTAATCAGCCGAAAAGCACTTTAAGTTTAAAATTCTTCTTAAAGGACCACAAGCCGGAAATGCCGTTCCGCACGGTTATTAATGAGAACGGAACGTGGCAAAGCATGGTTTCGAAGTTTCTTCAAAAAGGTTTAGACTTCGCTAGATTGGAAAACAGTCTTTCGTTTAGAAACTCAGACGATTTTGTTCAGATTTTAGATGCTCACCATGGGAGGCAATGCTCGTTGATCTCGATGGACATTAAAGATCTGTACTATTCTCTTCTCTTGAAAAACAGCTGTTGATGAGTAGGGTTAGAGAGGCTTTGGAGCGTAATTTGGTAAAATTTTAATCAGGTACGGGGATTCCGGTAGATAGTTTTTTAGCGATCCTGGATCTTTATCTTAAAGCCACGGTAGTGGAGTTCAAGGAATGCATGTGGATTCAAAAGAAGGGTGTGTGTATTGGGTCTGCGGTGGCACCTATTTTGGCAGAAATTTATTTAAACTCTTTGGATAACGCAATCTCGGAAAGGCTGGCAGTTTGGGGGTCGGGTGAAGTTTTAGTGAGAAGGTATGTTGATGACATTGTGGTCATGAGCTTTCATGGGAAGGATACGGGAGCAATAGAGAGTCTGGTGAGAGCCTCAGCACCGGAACTTACCTTTACTGTTGAAGGGCCAGACAGAGGAGGTTTGCAGTTTTTAGATTTACGTATTCACGTGCTAGAAGGAGTGTGCTGGGAGTACGGAAAAGAATCGGCAAAGCCAGTTTTAAGTAGAAGAAGCTGCCATTCAAAGACTGTGAAGGCTGGGGTGGTCAAATCAATAATCGGAAACGCTCTAAAGAAGTCATGTCTTCATTATGTAGGCCAAGCCCTCAAAAGGCAGTGGGTGAGGTTAGAGGATGCGGGTTATGATAAAGTTTTCATCACGAGGCAGCTCTCCCCAAGTTTCGGCGAGAGAAATGGAACAACGAGAGAAAGAAGTAAAAAGGTTGCCGTAGTCCCATACTACCACAGTGTTTCGCATATCCTTAAAGCGAGTGCTCACAGATTTGGAGTTGACGTAGTGTTTTCATCTGATTACAAATTAAACAGAATGACTCCGTTCTTTGCACCTCCAAAGGAATGCAGAAGGGAACATCAGGACAGGTCAGTGGCTTGCAAAGGAGGTGTAGTCTATGAGATACCCTTAGCATGTGGTTTTAGATATGTGGGGCAAACTTCGCAGTGCGTGAATGACAGACTGACCGAGCATAAAAGAAATGTAAAAAACGGGGCACCGAACTCGGAGATCGCCAAGCACGTGTCTGAGTGCAACAATTGTAAGGTGTTTTGGTCGGAAACGGAGGTAATACATCGAGAGGAAAATGAGATAAAAAGGGTAGTGAAGGAAACAGTCCGAATTAAGTCGATGGGAAATTGTATTAGCCAGCCATCAATGCATCTAGGAGAAAGCTCAAGAAAATTCCTCAAGATGTAAACCCCCCGTTTTTGTTTTTTTTTAGCTATCCAGCACTTTGTGCGCTGCCTACAAAGATGCAGTACAGGTGCAGGACATATTGTTTGTTCTGGTATTCCTTGTTACTTCTTTCAAGTGTGTAGTTGAGGTTGGAACTTTTGCATTCTCCCCTTTGTGTATTTTGGTTCATGGTTATCCTCTTCCGCTTTCCTTCAATGTGTAGTGCGGGTTAAAATGACAAATTGCCGTTTTTTTTTTTTTTTTTTTTTTTTTTTTTTTTACGGTGACTCAGTATTGGCTAGTTTAATGGTTTGTTGCTTGGCTTTGTGTAATTAGGTCTTGTATGCCCTCTTTCCCTTTGGTTCCGTGTGTTTGCAGGTTTGAAAAAACCTTTTAACGGTTCTTTGTTGACTTTGTGTAGTCGGAGGCTTATCTTGTCCTTTTGTCTGGCTGAAAGATTTTTCTTTTGTAATGTTTTGGGCCTATGTTTGGCTTAGTGTATTCCGGGTGTTTTGTTGTCATTGGTCGACGTGGTTGGTGGTGTGTGGACGTGGTGTGTATAAAAGTGCATACGATGGAATAAAATCCTTAGCTGTGTTTGAGACGTCGCCTCCTTGTGGCCTCTTTTCTTCTCGTCCCTTTTCCGAACTACCCCAGTCTCGGGTTAAACAAAACTATGGTTAACTGTAGCTGTATCTTAGGTATATTTTTGAAGTAACTTTTACAACCCTGGCTGGGCTTCATTGGAAGGACCGCAGTTAGCCACGGGCTGGAGTTTGGAGGCCCCTGTTTTAGATGATTGGTCATCTCCAAATTAGCGAGGTAATTTCTGTAAGAGATAGTCTGGAATGTTTATTAATTCTCACCCGAAGAGTCGTGGCGTAAAAAGTTCGGCTCAATGCCCCCTTTATGTGGCGAATTGTGCTTGTGTGTGCTCTCAGGATTGGTTCTTTGTTCTTTTATTAAAACACACACATTTCAAATGGGAAAAGCATTACCTTTTGTCTTTGCCAACCAGATCTTGTAAGAACTACTTCATGCAGGGCTGCATCATGCAGGGCTGCACCTAGGCTGCATCAAAACAAGCTTCTTTTTGAGGTGACCACGAGCATAGGAGCGTAAAGAGTTATTGTATACGCCGTGTTTAACCACAGGAGGAAACCGCATTTGATCCAAACTTACCCCACCCCAGCGGTAAAATTGTGTACAATCGCAATCACAATTAAGCACAGTTCGCGATCGTGCATTGTTTTACTTGGCGCTAGACCAATGACAGCTGGTGGAAGCCGTCGAACGAACTCCTGCGGCATATACTGGAGCTGGCCCGTCTCTCACCTCGAACCAACCAATGAGCTCTTAGTTTGTTTCCAGCAGATGCTTCGAAATGTAGCAATATGGAAGCACTTGGAGACCTTGAGCGGGTTGCCCGTGGTTTCTGTGCAGGTCTGGACATTCCGTGCGTGGAGCTGGTGCTGAACCACAACGTGCCCTCTGTGCCCAAGGACTACGTCCACCGCGTGGGGCGCACGGCACGTGCCGGTCGAGGGGGCATGGCACTCACGCTGGTCACCCAGTACGATGTGAACCTACTCAGGGCCATCGAAGAACTCATCAACACCAAGCTCTCTCTGCATCCGACCAAGGGTAGGTCGCCACGGGGGGCCCCTCGCACTGCCGTCTCGTTTGCTTCTTCCGAGCAGATAGTGGGGTGTCGGACAAAGAGGACGAATCGTGTTTTTTGTGACACAAACTTAACTTATATGTCGCTATAAGCAGAGACTCTGCTAGAATGTAACGCCGGGGATTGGGACCAGAGGCCAAATATTCTAAACGGGATGTTGCTCGAGTAATGGATCCAGAAGTGAACAACTAATTTGTCTCAATCGTTTAGCATCCCCTCGTAGGCATGCTATATCCGTTTTGACTGCAAGAGACGAGACTGAGTCCTCTTTGTATCTTACTTCATTAAAGGAGCGCTAAAGTGGTTTCTGAGGTCATCTGTTTATGATCATAGCTAAATCTATGGGCCCTAAGCATTTGAAAATACCGAAGGTTGGATTGATATGCGTCCGATTTCTTTATTTTAAACGTGATCAAAGATTGCGACGTGCCTGTTTTTCTGTGATTTGGCACCGAAACCAGAGGGCATCGTCTAACGGGCAATAGCCAGTCGCAAGTAATTGCTTCCCACGCACAAATTGCACACATTCGACAATCAGTTCGCCAGTGTTTGGCTCTTCTGCCACGCGGAAAGCGATTGCTCACAATTGGCTGTCGCACGTCCAATGAGGCCCTCTGGTTTCTGCTCCGGTACGCAGAAAAACGAACGGGTTGCGATCTTTGACCGAGTTTTAAGGGGAAACCCAGGTCTTGAACATTTTTCTACCATTTCTCATCCAGTTTTTATCAAATTCTTATACTATCTACTATAATTTTTCATGCTTAGCACGAGCATGAGCTCATTGTTTTCCTGCCTATTAGAGTTTTCAAAAAATTATAAACTTTTACCACAAATGTTTCCGACCAACGTTTTTTTACCACATCCCCATCAAAGACTGTGGCACAAAAGATGTCTGCATGCTCTACAAACATCAGAGAGTGTAGCAAAACCATTCTTATAATTTTAGCGTCATTGTAAGAAAAGTTGTCAAAAGTTGAATTTTTTGCTGATAATTTAAATTACCGTTAAATACCGTGCAAGTGCCCACTCAAAATTTAGAGATAATCGCGAAAAAATGGGGGATGGGCGCTTGTCCGGTTATCAATTTTGCATATAAATGTACTGTGCATATTTTTTCACATCTTAAAAATTTGGATTTGGGCGCTTAATGTGGAATGGGCAGATGTTCGGTATTCTATGGTAGGCCAGTATAGTCTTTGCTGTTTAAAAAAACATTGTAGCTAACATTTTTCTAAAAATATTAGTCTTGTTGTGCTCTTTGACTTATGAGGTATCCAACCCTGAAAAAAGTATTCAGATCCAAATTCTAGATTAAAAATACCATGAGCAAAACTTTGTGCTGTGATGAAAAAATTAATTCTGAGAAAACAAGAAGCTTTTCATGACATGCTTGTAAACAGCCTAACTTTAGATCGATGTAACCCTGAAGATGTGCACTTGGTGAGTGTATGTAGTAATTAGCTAATATGTTTGTAATTTATGAATAAAAAAAATGTTTTAAAAAATAACTTTTTTATTTGATCTTTTTGAGACCAGGGTCTCCCCCTTAATAGGGAAATTGAATTGTATCAATCTAATCTTGAGTGTTTTAGATTGCTTGGAGGCCATAGATTGAGTTATGACCATAAGTAGGCAATATTAGAAACCACTTTAGTGCCCCCTTGATTGGAAGAGTTGTTTGTTATGCTTCGGGATGCCTTACAAAAAACAAAGTGACGGTTTTGCCATACATTCATCGATTGTCCCACAATCTTAAAGAGTTTACCAGTTTTTTCGGGGTTCCTGTTGTGTTCACAGCACCATCAAAATTATCCAGATTATGCCCAAGGGTGAATAATGAACCAGACAAGGGCAAGGCATGCACAAAACAGCATGTAAACAAATATGTAGATTGTAAAACATTGGTGCTTTACGAGATATCAACGACGTGCAGAAGAGCGTATATCGAGTAGACAGGGAGACGCGTAAATGAGAGGGCAAGGGAGCACAACTTTTCTGTAAGAGGCTGTAATTGAGCTTGTTCGGCAGTGTTTTATGACCCGGTGCAGTGCGGGTGATTCAAATTTTAGTTTAGTTAGGTTTCGGATATAAGCAGTGTTTTATGTGGGTTTTAAAAAGAAAAAAGGAAAAAAGCACAAAGCGAAGGTTCAGAAAGAGGAGGAAGTATTAAACCACAGTTGGTAGTCCAGCGGTATGCCTGTCTCTTTCTCTCTATATTCTATTTTCCTAAGTTCAGCTGGCCTTTTTTAGTTTTTAGTAGTTTTCTGTAAGGCTGTCACCTTCGGGAAACTTGGCCATTCACTGCGAAGATACCCATGTTCTCCTGTACTTAATAAACATAAATTTTGGGAAGCTATAAAACAAAAAGAGAAAGAGAAATCTTCGAGGCTTTTAAAATCAGGGTGAAGGGCGATGAAGCTTGTATCAGCACATTGTCAGTCCTTTTATCATATAAGGAATTTGAATTTATCGTGCGTGAAGTTTGATTGTGAGCGAATGGATTGCGTGGGAGTGTATTTATGTTTGTCTTTTCCGAATAAAATTCAGTTGACAGTAGCGCATCGTTTTGTCCAATTATTCCTGTTGTCCTTGTATTTTTGGCGCTTTTCGAATCTAAGATGTACTAACTTGCCCAACTACAAATTTTTTTTGCTAAAATAGAGAATGCAAACTTGTCATTGTGAGGGCAACATTCTTCGCACGATCACTCACTACGCCGTCACATATTGTTATAGCGAAAGCACGACCGCTTTTCTGTCCGACAGAGTCCGAGGTGCTGAAGATCCTGACCCAGGTGTCGGTCGCCTTACGGGAGGCCGAGATCCGTCTGGACGAGCAAGACTTTGACGAGCGCAAGCTCATCAATCGGCGCAAGAAGCTGCTGCTCCAGGGAATGGACCCGGACGAGGTGGAGAAGAAGCGCCAGCAGAGGCAGCGGCGCAAGCTGCGCAGGGCCAAGCAACGGCACAAGGGGGCCAAGGCTGCGCGGGCGGGGCTGGGCGTACGGGCCAGCGAGGGGAAGCTCACTGCATGAGCCTCTTTGTACAGGGAGGGGTGCCCTCGTGAAGGGCGGCCTCGACACATCATGTAAATTCAACGCCGTAATAAACCGAGTTTCAGAAGTTTCTGCATCTGGTCGCATGGTGCCAAACTTGGTTCACACCAGATGGGTTGGATTGTAAGGTCTTTGTGGAGGGCATCTATATGTTGGCTGAAAAAGCTCTATACCCTCCAGCAAAGTGGTTAATTGAGCTAGTGGGTTTATAGTTTAAAAATACAAAAGTGCCAAAAAGAACTAGGACGAAAAAATTGTAAGACAACACAAGATTCCTTGCGTTGACTTGCTTCTTTTTGATCCTTGTTGTCGGCGTTTATCTTTTTTGCTCTATACCCTCCTCTCAGTGGTCTGGTTTCTGTTTAGAATAGTATCAGTGAAGCCTTGCTAAATGGGCCCTGCAACCCCAAAAAACTTTTTCAAGCAAAGTAGCACCCAAAATTTTGTTTGCTGGAGTTACTTATTTGTTAAAAACAAATGGGAGAAATAGGAACCAGAAGACGAGCAAGGGGCATTACGACCTAAGAATGTCCAACTGCCCCGGGGTGTTGCTCTCCATGACCTAAAAGCTTCTTTAATAAAATATATATTCCTAGTGTTTTGGTGTTAACTTGTTTTATAAGTACCGTAAACAACTAAAATTTTGCGGCTTTAAAATGTTTAAAAAATAGGTCTCGCACATTTATGAGCCCATGGTAACGAGCGCAGAACTTTTTACTCGAAGCCGTAAAATTTTCTGTCTGTAAAAGTGTTTAAAACTTTAGGCTTACCAAAATTTACAAAAGATTGAGCCTGCGAAAACAAAGTCTGCAGTATATGCCTTGGATGGCCCAACAACTTCGTAAAACATACGAACACCGTGTCATTGCCGCACGCGATCCTAGAAAAGTGAGCGAGTGCAGACGTGCACTCGCTCGTTTTGCTGCCAACTCATTTTCTGCCACCGGCTACACCAACAAATAAATCACAGGACTGTGGCATATTCACTGTGCACGATCAGTTTACCGAGGTAGAAAGGGTAGCTTACAGGGAACCTGAAACATTTCTTTCAAAAAATGAGATAGAGGTGGATTCTAGCATAGTGTTATCCCGTGAATCTGGACATCACATTCATTTTCCCCGAAGATGTAACTAAACACGAAAAACCTCCGAGTCGTGACGTCATAAGAGGATCTTTCGGCCGCCAAGCGCAGTGTCCCTCGTGTGGGCAGCGCGTGCAGTTGCAAGCGTGCCAGGTATATTCCCCCGCACTGACACCAGTCGCGACGTCTTTTTCTGCCCTTTTTCAACATAGCGAGAGTGCGCGTGCATAGCTCGGATAGGCACCGACTGTGTGAGAAAGCGGAGATTCCGAAAACTCCTTTTGCGATGTCGCGTTCCAGGAAAGAGGACCTCGGCGGTACTTTTGAAGATGATTTTCTGCAGCCTCTGTGCACCAAATTAAAAAATAATTTAGATATTCGAGATCATGGAGGTCAAATGAAGACGACTTAAGTGTATTTCCTCAAATACAAAACCGCTTCAGCTCCCCTTTAAAGCTTTGCCTTAAGTTTCCCCCGTCTACCTTGCAAGTACAAAAAGTCACTTTTACAGAAACAGTATTACCAAGGACTGTTTGCAGCAACAAGCTGACACTGCTGCAGCATGTTCCATGTATCGACACAGAGAGCAGCGACAGTTTTAAATAGGTAGTAACTTCTTTATACAACATTTTTTTACATATACACAACAAAAGCAGGGCGAAAAAAGTATTTTCTCCCGCTGCGAAACAACATGACGTTCGCCCGAAGGTGCGGAGGCCCGGGCTGTTGAAGGTTGGGGATCAACCTGCAACAAGATACGCCGTTGGCTTCCTCACCCGGCACATCGCCGGATCCGACGGTACTTTCCAACACCCGGATGTTAAGAGTGCGCACTTAGAAAATCCTAATAACGGCTGATTGCATTCTTCGTTGTGAAGAGCGTGTTACTATTAGAAGGCTCTGAGCAAAGAAAATGTGGGACAACTGTTTTCAATGCCTCTCTTTAGCGTAGTGTCACCTTCACACTGAGTACTAGTGCACTGAGCAATACCTCGACTCTCCAAGCTCTTTGCCGAGATCACTTTGGTCACTTTCTCTCACAAAGACGGATAAGCACGAGAGAGAAAGCCAGCATATTTTTAATGATGTTTTCTCAATGCAGTGACGGGCATTCAACTAAATTAGTTTTGCATAATGTATTTGTCCCGACTGGACTGCCGAGATTTGGGTACCGCACCATTTCACAAAGTCAAAATGCTGTTTTTAATTGCACCAGCGCAAACAAAAGGCTCAACGTCACAAGCACCGCATCCAGACTCGACAAAATCGCAGAATATCACTTCTTCGCTCTAGGCATGCAAAAATAGAACGGCTAAACTGGGACACATTTGAAAATGGTGCAGTGACGTATGAGGAAGACTGTACACTGTACTCTGACATTTCAAATAGCACAAGAAAAAAATAAAAAGAGCTGTGAAAGTTTTCTTGTTGCTCAGATTCGAGGCTTCTAGGCCACCGCAGAATTGCCAAATTATAGGAAAAATTCATACTGGAATGGCAGTCGGTAATTGTTGCAACACTTTGCATCTCAATATGGCATTAAAACCCACTTTCGATGCCAAGGCACTTGAAACCACGTTTTGCACACATAGTAATATATTAACTGCTATTGACTACAGTTTCTGTCGTCCCACATAAGCTACATACCGTGAAATACCGCAGAAGACCCCACTATTAACCTTTCCCAAACTTGGGAATTCTGCAAATTCTACGTTAACCACCCGATTTAACCGGACAAGCGCTGTCTAGATTAACCCAGTTTTCAGTGAAAGTATGGTGGGTATCCCCCGGTATTTTACGGTAGCCTGGTAGTGAATAAGTAGTAAGACATGGTAAGCAGGACCAAAAACTCAAAGCACCTGAGCCAAAAGAGTGCTAAGCTTTACAGTTAAAAAATGAAGTAGCTTAAATTAAGGGCTCTTGAACCACTCTTTACATAAATAACATCCCTTTCTTGCAGCTGAAAACACACATACCATATAATAAAAATAAAATACTCTCTAACTAAAACAACTTTCCAAATCTCATTTGCTCACTTTAAAGAAACCATCAATAACTTTTTTTTTTTTTTAACTTTTGCTAAACACTGCTCAAAATAAAACCTTCACATTCAGCAATGTTACTTGCATGGGTGTACCAACGGGGGGGCCAAGGGGGGATGCTTGCCCCCCAGTTCTCAGAGTGTGGGGGGGGGGGGGGGGCAAGGCATGTGTTTTGCCCCCCCACCCTGAAACAGTTGCCACTGGGCAGGGCACACACTAGCCGGCGGCGCCACAGGGACACCAAGGGCATCGCCCTCCGCCCTGGGGGGCGGGGGGGGTTGCTTTGCCCCCCCCCACTCAAAAACAAGTTGGTACGCCACTATGCTGCTAACCATAGCACGAGCTGTGGTTGGTAATGCACAGGGCAAGAACTGCAGTGCCTCTTGTTCGAGCTTGACTGTTCTCATTGCAGCGATTAGACACAATCCCGAGCCTATATCCACCAAAGCATTGATTGTAACCGAGCGCAAAACCGAGCGCTCGAGCAGTGCTTCTATCATTCAATTTACACAGCAACACAGAAGCTTGTGCGAGTATACTTTGATCTCATTTGAACCAGTATGCTTGTGCAAAATGTGTAACATTCAAGTCCAATGTTGTTGCACGGTTCCTTTAACATGCATATTGTGTATAGCAAGAATCAACAGATTTCTTTAAGCCCAGAGAATAGACAAGGTCCAAACAAAGGAAAGCTATTTTTGCAACAACAATAAAAATGTAACATTAGCTATACAGAAACTAAACTAACTATATGTATGAACATGTGAATTGACTCCAGGAACTGAAAGCTAACATGGGAATGAAGAGAGACAAGCATATGCTTTCGGCTTACAACATTATCTCGTAGCCTGAAAACTCCGCTCCAGCAAGCCTCGGTTGATCGAGGGAAAGGTTTGCTGGAGCAGAGTTCTCAAGCTACGAGATAAATGTTGCAAGCTGAAAGCATGAGTCTGTCTATCTTTGTTTCCAGGCTGTGTTACTCCTGGAAATCTTAGGCAACACGCTCATTAAATTCTTCATGAATCGAAGCATATGAATTCTGAACTGTAATGCATCCCAGTCAATACAGCCAAAGCGAGAGTAATTTGCCTCTGGCAACAGTGAAACAAGATGTATCCAAACCTCTTGGATCTTCTGATAATCAATATGCTTCTCTGGAGAGCTCACTGCCAACTCTGCATGGGAAATGTTCACAGAAGCATTCTATTTTGCTGGAAGCTCATGGAGCTCTTGAGTGCTCTTCTGAGACAAATGAGCCTACACAGCAACAGTTACAACATTTGTAAAGGCCACAACTCGGCTAGAGTTGCCGGACTTGAAAAAGGGACTCCACAATCATACAGTGGAAGCCTGTGCTGTGCTTCCCACAGTCTAACCAGTAGATTCATAAAACAAATCTTAACTGTCCTTGATTGTGAACAAACTAGAAAGGCTGAATTCATAAGCAGCTTTACAAACTAGCCCTACCATAAAACAGCAAATGACTATCCTGACATCGTGGAGGTGAGAAATACAGATGCAACGAAAACCTTTCTCAAACACCAGAATGAATGTTTTCTCGAGTCAGCCTTGGACCTCACAATGTTTCATCTGTGCCCCCGTCATGCGACAGAGATCAAACCTGGTGCAGCCCATCGTGGCAATTCATGCTGATGTCACAACCCTACACAACTCGACTGCACAATGGGTGACAACATGAAACTGCACACCTAATCAGGCTCAAGATTTTTTTTTCTCTTAAGTTATAGGTTTCGTGTGGCACTGGTTGTCTGTGTCCATCTACATACAGGGTGGCAGAATTTGGCAAGAGTGACTAGGCAAGGCTGGGGAACAGTGGAGAGAAAAAACACCTTAGGCACTGTCATGGTCTAACCTGAGATGGCATGTGATTCTGGAAAGGCAGAGAACTGGTCATGCATGTTTTGCGGTACTCCAAGATGTTTCTTTTTTTTAACATGAATCAGCAGAATTGCCATTACTGTAGTCTGTTTGCATATTAGGTGAGCGTTACTTCACACAAATAGGCCATTTCTTCTCACTGCTACTCATGGCATTGTTCCAGACCCTGGACCTCCTTGTAAGATAGCAAACAACTCTCATAATGCCTATTCAGCTAAACTGTGACCCTGCTTGCATAAGTACTATAGGAAGATGTGGATCACCAAGCATAAAACTTCACTTGGCATAACGCTAAGATGCACACCACCCACCTACACTACCGACACGAGCCAGAGGGTGAAGCATCGGAACATTTCATTTTAGCGAGAAATATATCCTCTCCAATTAACAGGGCACAGCACATGGAACAGAGATGGCAAACTTCAATTCCACAGATGGCCAGGGGGCGCAAAAAGCGCAAGCACAAGTTAACTGAGCTTCGTTGTTAAGAGATGACGTTGCACCATAAGAAAAACTCGAGGATGATGTTTAAAGGATAGAGAAAACCACTGCAATGTAAACAAGTTCTCGAAGCTTCTTACACCCCGAGTCTATGTTCCGAGAGTCTGTCACCGATATTTCATGTTTCTTCTCTTTGTTAGATTCACGGTCTCGTGTCTTAGTTGCATTTCAACAAACCAGTCTGCTCCCGCTTGTAGCCTTTTACCGCAAACAATAGGCTCGTTCTCTCTCAATGACTTTCTATTCACGAGGCTCGTTCCTCGTTGACCCTTCTCCCAAAAAACATTTGCATTCCGCCTGTCCTAGCACGAGAAAATTCTCCAACAGGAACAGATGACGTACCAAAAGTCTACGTGACAAAACACAACTCCGAAATGTCGACTTTGGGCTCGCGTTGGGTCCCGGTTCGGATCCTGCACTCCCCGCCGGAGGCTTTCGAATCGCACGCGGGCTCAGCCCACAAAGGCCGACCCGACGGAGGCGCGAGCGCGGTGCAGCCTCCAGGAGAGGCGCACGTCGGCCTGGCGTCAGCCGATGCGCGTACTCGACACGGTGATGCCCAGTGGCTCGTCCTTGGAGTTGATGCGCTGGTAGCCCTCGGCCTGGTGCTGGAGCGGAACGCCGTGCACCGTGGGCGCCGGCCTTTCCTCCAGCAGCGCCGCCGTGAGGTCGTCCCGCTGATCCCTCGTGCTCTGGAGCAGTCCCTGCAGGCTGGACAGGGACACGTCCCAGTCCTTGAAGGCGTTGAGCAGGAATATGGCGCACACCACCGTCAGGAATCCTGTCAGCATGCCTGCGGAAGGAGCGGAGCGGCCTTTTGACTCGCGTTCGGAACCGGCCGATTGTTCTAGGTTTCGGCCTGCTGCACTCTCTCGCCATTGTGGCTACAAACTGCCGCTCGACCGAAAGTAACACTCCTTGCCGAGTGCACCCTACGAACGATGGAGCACACCACGAGTGCGAGTAGAGCTCGTTATCAACCCAAAGCGCCGACACCCGCTGCGGCGCTGCTAATGTAAGGAGGTTCCGACTGAAGACGAGGTGAGGTGGAAGTGGCAGAGCAGGCAGTGGGGACAGCAAAACTGCGGAACAACTCTATGATATTGGTAAACTGCACGAAACTATTGCGGACACAGTGTTTGTGCTTTTTCATCATTTAGTCGTACAGAGTCTCATAAGCTACAAATTCTACCTCTTAGGATGGCTTTCTGAACAAGTGATTGAAAGTGTTTGTTGGAACTTTCGATTGATTAAACACTTGAGGTGTGCAGAACGAGAATTTTCCGCCACGCAAAGTTTCGATGACAACCCGATTCGAAGTTAGAAACAGCAAAATCTGGCGATAGTTTGCTTCTCCTAATGGTGCTGTAATCTGTACTTCAAATGCTTGTTCCAGTATTACAAGCATACTTCTACATTGATTCCCCATGTCCATATCTTTGCTCTAGAGAAAATCTACTGCACTGAAACTGTAAACTGGCTGCAGAAATTTGTTAGCATGAGCCCACTACTATATTTTCTTGTAGACGACACACTGCACTGTGCTCGTGGTTCTTTTTTTTCGAATGACAGCCGCAACACGGGTAGCGTGTTTTCCCTACCATCAATTTAAGCCTGGCAGACAGACGTCTACCAATGCAGTACGGAGCAGCTACAGATCGGGTGACCGCAAACGAGAGACGCACCACGAGATCTCCCCGACCAGGAAAGAAAGGAACGCACCGATCAGATCCTCAGCAGTCATGTTGCCCCACTCCTTGAAGAGAATGGCCGACGCAATCAACACAAAGGTGGTGAAGAAGACGTAGTAGATGGGGGTCACCACAGATGTGTTGAAGACGTCCAATGCCTGTAGAAACAAAGACTTTATGCTTTTAGATATCAAATGCAAACAAATTGTAAGTGCAGCTCAAAAGAGCTATGAAAGCTATTTAAAAGCATGTTGAAGATAGTTAATAGAAATACAGTTAATATGAATGTATCTAGTTAAAGTTACTCGCAGAAAGCAAATGAATCAGGTTTCAACTGTACTTCTAAAATATCCCACGATGTAGAGGCATGTTGCAAGCGTGGTGTCCGATGCAATGAATAATATTTAGCGCATTTGATTTTGAATTTAGCATCCTGCTCGTGCACTACTGTGCATGAAGCGCTATCGTCGAGAGAAAATCAACATGAATTTGGGGATTTGCCGGCATATAACTTTCAGAAGTAACTGTAATTGAAGCAAGTTACAGGTTACTCTAAAAGCGTAACCGAATTGCAGCTACGGTGAAAAAGATTTCTTTATGACTCTGGAAGTGTTTCCCAGTCAATGAAAACCAGAACAAGTCCCCCGGTCCCTTAACCATCTTTACACCCAATTACCTGGGCCCCGTTAAGTCTGACTTCAGTTGCACTTAACTGCGGTTTATTAATATTAAAGCTGTTTCCAAGTGCGGGTGCCACTTGCCTTGTTGAGGTAGTTCATCTGGATGGAGATGCAGACGACCACGCCCAGCAGGCAGACCCAGGTGACCCAGGAGGTGAATTCGTTGCGGCCGGCGAAGCTCTCCCGCAGGGCCAGCCCCAGGCCCTTGCAGCCCATCACCGACAGCGAGCCAATCACCGAGCAGATGGCCACGTAGATCACCACATTGGACGTGCCGTACTTGGGCGCATAAATCACCGTCAAGATGCTCGTCACCGTCACCACAAATATGACGTACACGATGAAGGCTGCGAGCAGATTGGAGACTTGTCAGAGGCATGCGGATACCAAACCTGCCACTGCAAACTGAATGTGAATATTGCAGGTTGACCGCAAATCAAATTAAAATCTTCTCAAATATGAACATCTTACATTCAATGTAAGCTTAGCAGTAGGATACTTCATTAAATCGAAGCTGGAATTATATTTCAGCAAACATACCTACGAAAAGAAACAGTTGTAGTACACGAAAAGCATTTCGCATATACTACTTGTATTAAAAAAAAGGTGCTGATAAAACAAGTTGGGGAAAACACAATGTATAATGGAAAGCAAAAAAACAACTCTCTCTTTTATTTGAATAGGCAGGTTGGTGTGCGCGTTCCAGCACTGTTCTTTAGAAAAAAGAAACACTAACGCTTATAACTGCAACCAAAGAAGGCTGATCTACAAGAGTGAGCGAAATATCCGAGTTTGCGAGGAAAGCCGACACTCCGCTACGTAAGCCATTTCCCCGAGCAGTCTGGCGCAAGATAATAAAACTCGATGCACATAAACCGGTGCAAATCAGCGAGGCTTGACGCAAGAAATAAAGGCATTCTGAAGACATTATCTTCTTAAATCTGAAATACTTCAAGAAGTCGAATACTTTGATGCTTTTTTAGTATCTGTATAAATACACATACCCATCAAGGTCTGTTGAAAAAAAATCAGACGTTTACAATTCCCTGTAATGCCGAATTACAGCGCAGTTCTTGAGGAGGAGGAGGGGAGGGTACGGAGAGGAGGGTATGCCCTTCCTTCTTCTCCCTCTCCTCCACGTTCTTCCCTTCCTCCCCCCCTCCCTCCTCCCTCATGATGTTACTCGTGACCCTTGTCAACCTCGTGACATCACTCGTGATGTCACACGTGACCCTAGTGACCCTCGCGACGTCACGTGTGACGTCAATATGGGAAACATCCCATAAGGCAATGCGCAGTCATGCCGACGGCGACAGCGACGCCGCTCAAGCTGGAAATGGGCGCCTAAGAGCTGCGCTCTAAAAGGTATACTTAAAAAGACTGCTTTAACCTCAATGGCTTCTACAGGCAACGAGCAGGCAAGAGCAGGCCGCTCACAAGGCTCGGTGATCATGGCGCCGAGCTGCTCCATGCTCTCCACGTTGCCCTCCTTGGGGCTGTGCAGCACAATCACCGTGGAGCCCAGGATGCACAAGAGGCAGCCCACCTTGCCCACTAGGTTGAGCCGCTCGTTCAGGAACTTGGAAGACAGAAGGGCACTGCCGGAGAGAGAAGGAAACAGGGGCGGAGCTCCTTCAAAGCTAGGCTACGATGCCTCGTCTACAGAGAGCCATATCTTCGGAGTACAGGAACGACAAGCCTGAAGCAGTGAGGAGGAGGCACCATGATTGGCTGCCAATCGGTGCAGCTTTTGCCCAATAACGGCAAGTTTCGATTTGGCAGTAGCTGCCATTGAACGACTGGACGCGAGCCCAGCGCTACGGTTCAGTGGGGCAGTCAGATACTCAAGGTAGGGTTAAACAAATGCGACCGTGGGATGCGTCAAAGTTCCGGGCACGTTAAGTAGAGCTACCGGTATAATCAAGCTCCGTCGCACGACTCGATAGCGCTGCCACGCTCCTCAGATGGTCTCAGCACCGTTGGATCAAATGAGGAGCCTCCTAGGTAGAAAGGTGGGTGTCCACGGATACATCAAGTAATAACCGTGCTTTTAAAGAGGCTCCTTCGGGGCTCTGAAGGGGCTATGTCTTTCAGTGAAATGAGGGCACCCAGGTGGTTCGTCTTCAAGTTCTTCTCACCAGCTTTCACTACTCTTGAACTTTGTCAATGCACTGAGATGGTGATTGTTTATGTTTTACCTGACTAGGACACTAAGAGCCCCCAATGGAGTAACCAGAGATGCAGGTGCAAATGCATAAGCTGCGAAGTTGGCCGCTTCCCCTACAGCCACTGAAAAAGAACAAAAAAAAAAACTTTACAGGGTTACTGTCTTGAAAACGCAACCATTATTGGCACGACATACTCTGTTCATTTACATAATTGTTGCAGCTCAACCCCTGCGATTTTCTTCACATACAACACATGCATCAGCAGAAAAAAGTGTGCATTTTGACATTCATCCGGCAGACATAAAAGCACAGTCTGGCATGCATGCTTGAGAAATGCTGTGGTGCAAGTTGTACTTACTGAGGATCAGCCCGGTCCACCAGACCCACTCCTTGAGGTAGCCATAGCCACCTGCACCTGCAAAGACATTCGTCATAAAATTAAAGAAGTGCAAAGGCGCAGGCTGGGCGGTAAACCCTGGTAGAACTTCACTCCCGAGACACGGGCACACGAAAAGGGACGCAGAGTTCCATTTTGCAAATGCTGTCGTGTCTGTCAACGTGTTTTTTTCACACATCCTCGTCTCGGAGTAAAGTTTAACCAAACACTCTACTAGGTTTACTAGTGGGAGTACAGGCCACTCTGGTCATTTGCATTAGACAGAGCGATGGCAGTGCTGAAGCCTTCCATCGTGGCTTGGTTGCTTATGCCACTCCGGTGGCAGACTTCTCACCGCTCTCTTTCAAACGGCCTCCTCTCTCAACACCTCTCTCTCTACAGATCACGTGGGCACCCAACAACCCGCATTCTAGAAAGCCGGGAATGCGGACGCAAGCAGGAACCGCGATGCTATGTCCCAACGCCAACAAAAACGGAAGCAAACGACACAGGTGTAACCAGGTGATGACTCGATAATTTTTCTGGCCGTCGGGTGTACTTGCAACTGTCACATTACCAAATACTTAACTGTTCACCTGCCTGCCAAGTGCGCCTCTGACATTGCCCTTTTGCATTAATTTTCCCGCAATGCTGTAAAGAGGGATTATGGCCCATCACAATCATTGTTACCCTCACAATAACTAGCAGGCTCGACAGCTTAAAAGCTGTTTGATGAGATTTGGAGAACCCACTAAAGTATTTTGCTGTAACACCCACTTATGGAGTTGCTTACTGGTCATCCATAATAGTACTAGACGTCATGCCCAGCTCTAATTTGGTGGTACCGAACGAGACATTAAGCTCATGCTGTGTATATGTACCTTGTAATTCAATAAAAGGTTATTTTGTGTTTCTTTTACATTAACAAAAAACAGGGATGGTGCGACTGAACATTAAATATGCGGCTGGTAGCGAAGAAACCAACCCAACAGATGGAATTGGTTACAGGCCCATTAAAAGAAAAAAAAACCACGACGTTGCGCCACACCCAGTCATTCAAATGTCCCAGACTCTGTTTCCCTAGTTAAGTATTTGGTTTAACTAAGTTGGACACAGTCGCCGACAAATGAGAAAAGGTGCTTCTGCTGACGGCCTACTTGTGTGGATTACTCTAAAAATTAGTTACTTATGTTAAAAAGTAGTTAATGATAGAAAGAATTACTAGTGAAAAAATGCAATCACAAATAAAACACTTCTCTTTTTTAAATTTCCGTTAGTGTGTTTTACACAACGGTGGAACTGATATGAGTTTCCCTTCAAGTATCAACATTAAAAAAAACCTGAACCTAGGAAAAAAAAATTTTTTTCCCCACCTAGTTAGGACAAGCCCGTCTAAAAAAAAAATGTTTGTCAAAACAAACATTTTTTTTTTTCCCCAATACTCATACTACAATACAAATTTTATGATTTGCGGGCGAAACCAAAATTGTATCCCTGTAGGATGATGACGATAGTGTTTGTACCTAACTCTACTTCGTTCAACCTTAAGTTGAGGCTATGGTGGGAGCTACGTGCCCGCTGGACCAATCAGACGCCTTCTTCTTATCACCTGACCAGACTTTCTGCATGTGGGTGTGGTTGGGAGCGTGATGACGTGGCAAAAGAGAGGCGTATGACTGGTCTAACGAGGACGCAGCTTCCACCGCAGTCTCAGCTTAGAGGTGAACAGAGTATAGTGTGTGCTCTGAGGTCCAGCGAACTCAGAGCGCATACAAGTTGGGTAAAAACGCTATCATCATCATTCCACAGGAGTACAGTTCCGGTTTAGCCTGCAAATTGAAAAATTTGTATTGTAACATAAATATTAGGCTTCTTTTTTTTTTCTTTTAGACAAACATTTATTTTGAGACCTGCCTGTCCTAAATAGGTAGAAAACCCTTTTCTTTTTCCTTTTCTAGATTCGCAGTTTTTTTACCTGCACAAATTTGCCCCAGGGGTTATATTTCTCATTAGTATAGTCGGCGCGAATGTTCAAACTGGCCCCCGCTTGTCTATATTATCACAATCACAATACACATATGCAGGCTTATCAATCCAGTTTTGCCGTATCAACCATATAAATATATAAGTGTGATTTATCCAAAACTTTTTCGTGAAAACATTTGTTTATAGCGGGGTGTGACTTATAGACCGGAACATACTGTGAATACAATTATACATTGCTTTTGAAAAGTAACGAAATCAAAGAAAGAGTAAGTAGACAGGTGAGCTCGTTGATGTTACACATTTAAAAAAACAAAAAAAAATGGAGACAACCAATGACGAAGGGGATTGACATATTTAGTGTTTGTCTCGTTCTTCGTCCGTCGTCTCCAGTTTTTTCAAAAATGTGTAACAAATCACTTCACAATTGCTTTTGCCACAGGACTTTGGCATTCATTTAACAGCTTATTCTCACAATTGAACATATTTGCTTTTCCCTTGTCATATCGAAAATTCATTATGCAGCATTTTACCTTCGTAACATGCGGTGCCTTTGTATCACCAATTTCATTTATCTACAACAGGAAGCCAAGTACGGTGTGAGGGAGCACTTTAACCACAAGTGAAGTTTTTTGCGTTACCTCAAAAAGGGGGAAATGAAACTTCCCCCATTGTTACAGTGGCCCCTTTCTCCACCACAGAGGTTACCACACACTCGTGGAAGGCAAGACAAAGTCCACTCTCTTCCACCCTAGCAGAATGGTCTTCAATGCATGGCTGTCCGCAGAACTTTTTTTGAAAACCTTATTTCTCGGGAAGGGGGGAGGGTGCAAAATTTTCTTAAGAGGGGAGCAACATTGGAGCTATGGGCTAAAAGCGTCGCTGTGGCAAGCCACCATTATAATGTTTCACTAGGATCGAAGTCCTAGAGTCACATTATTCGGCTTTCATCGACGGAAATAGGAGTAACTTCAGACTGCCAACTTTGACGGTGTTGATTTTATGAATGCAATGGCTTCAACCTTCCCGCTGTGCTTGTGAGAAGTAACATCGAGTTTGTCTTTCACATCTGACGGTCCTAGTCGTGGCGTCACCAGTATAAAAATCATAAAGCCGCAATCACACTGATCATACATAAAATTGGGTTGTGTGTATGTTTATACAGCCTAGAACTTGGTCTGCCTCATTGGGAGACGAGTCTTTCAGCTGTAGATGAGCAATTTAGCCAGTGCAGTACAGCCGCTAGCCTGGGGTCTTTGACATGCATCACGCAGTAGTGATACACGACCGCACGCCGGTACGATGCTCATCTAGATCGAAACGGGCAGGGGTGGGGATTTAACCCAGAGTCCCTGAATTCTGCAGCGCGAGTTTTCGCTCCACGTGCTCCGAGCTGGTGTGCGCTAGCCCACTCCACCACCGATCCCCCATACATGATACAAAAGACACAGTATTTGCTGCAGACATGGCGAGAGAAGTATCTGTAGACATGCCTCAATAATGTTCGAAGCATGTTTGCTTCGCACATAAGTATGCTTCGAACTTGTCTGCAGGCAGTTTTTATGGCCAATGTAACCGTCATACAAGAAGGAAACACTCGTCAGACAGTGTCTCCAGACTGCCTTTTGATTGCAACCTAAGAGTACGCCACCGAAACGTCTCGTTGTCATACCCCCTGAATCCCCAAAGGGAGGCATGCCCCCCCACCCCCTTGCACCCCCCTCTCGACACCAATGCATGAATGTCGCGTAACCACCGCAAACGTAGCTGCAGTTATAAGGCAAATCTTTAAACCTCTATTAGTGAAACGTAAACTACAATTATAAATTACTCGTGAAAGTAACTGAACTTGAACAATTCAACCAGTCCAAATGAATTACTGTTCGGGTACGCTGACACGCACCTGCCCTCGTCTGCCCCTGTTTGTTGATGCGGAGCAGCCCTTTCTTCTTCACGATGAAGCTGGAGCCGATGAAGACGCTCGAACTAACCGCCAGGGCCAGCCCGGTGTAGAAGTGGCTCTTGGCCAGAGCGTCGCTCAGATCCGGCGGATTGGACGAAGTGGCCATGGCTGCGTTTCCCGGCGCTAGATGATCTCCGGGGATATCTGGTGCGTCGGAAAACAAAGGTCCGAGCGACGACGACATAAATGTCACAACGCCCTAAGCCGGATTAGAGTTGTCGATAAGAATGGTTCGCTGCCGTAGGTGGCATCGACGGACCCGAGAGAGCGACCTCCCCCCTCTTTAATTATTTCGCTAAGGAGATACATATTAGGCCGCCCGAGAGCAGCGAGGATCGCGCCAGAAGGTTCAACGGGACAGCCACACACTCAAAATGCTGCTGTTGTACGCACAGTACAACAACCTCGCGCTTGTCAGCTGACGTTACCATCTGTTTGATCGTCGCCCACGGACATTGGCTCCGATTTAGAATCTAGGTAGTACGTACCTCGTCCCGGAAGTTGTTAGTGCTTGTTACTAAAGCGCCTTGGAGAGACTCACCATCTCGATGAACGACGCCAACATCGCAGAATGATCATTCGTCGGAACCCAGCGTACGATGTGCTACAGTCGGCATCGCGAGTTTGAGGCTCGAAAACACTCGAAACTGAAGAAACTGAGGAAAAACTGACGGCACGATCGATTCTTAGAATCCGCTTTCGGCTAGATTGCTTGGCGTCTTGTAGAAACAGTGTCGAAATGACGAGATCGAATTAGTAATAATGGGCAATGAAATTGACAAAACTTGGAAACCGATAAAACGTCGCCTCTGGAGGAAAGAGCAGCGTTGGTCAAGTGGATCACTAGATGAGCAGATGACGGAAGCCATAGTCCTGTGATGGGATGCAGCTTGCGCCATCTATCTCATGATTCGTGCGCTTGTCATTACTTTTGAGATTTTGGTAAAGCTACGGGAACACTGTAAAACCCTATATTTTCGCGAATCTGTCACACAGGACATAATCGCGAATTCCAGACTCCTACATAAGGGTCGAAATTTTCGCGTGCCCTTAAATTTTGCGAATTTTTCAATTCGCGAAAATTAAAGGCCCGCGAACATAAAGAGTTTTACAGCAAAAGGAAAGGGACAAAAGGAGCTGTGGCGTAGCCAGGGGGGAGGCTTGTAAAACTTCAACCCCCCCCCCCCCCCCCCCGAACGCCGTTTCGTCAAACAAGTGGACATTTCAATGAACGCCGTTTCATCGAATCGCTTGACGCCGTTTCATCGAATTTTTATTTATTGAAATTGCTTTGAAATTGACCATAGTTTTGTTTAACCCGAGACTGGGGTATTTCGGAAAAGGGACGAGAAGAAAAGAGGCCACAAGGAGGCGACGTCTCTTTTGAGACGTCGCCTTTTTGTGGCCTCTTTTCTTCTCGTCCCTTTTCCGAAATACCCCAGTCTCGGGTTAAACAAAACTATGGTTAACTTCCACCAGCTCGCCTGCACCCTTACAATTTTTTCACAATTTGAGATTGCTTTGACACTCATAGAATCACCAAACTACAGGGTGAAGCAAGGAGACTCCAGGCTCTTTAAATCGACCGGAAAATTCGGTTTCTTAACGCTACGACTTTGTGCAGCGTTGCCCACAGAAGGTGCATTTTTTTTTTTTTTTTTGTAAAATTTGCGAAAAGCGAACTTACCTGAGGAAAAAGTAAAGAAAGAAAACGGCTTAGCTCCTATGGAAACGCAGCGGCGCCACCGGTCTGCAAACAACACGGCGCCGTTTCGCACGGGAGACAAGAGATGGCGCAAGCGGTCGCGACGCCAACTGCCGCCAACGAACGAGCAGACGACGCCGAGAGCCGGCCCTTTTGCAGACAAGGAACTGCAGTTCCTTGCTGTTACCGCGCCTGTCTTTTTTGTTTCTGCGACTGTCGCCGCCTGCGGAACGCGCGCCGCTTTTGAGTCGAAAAGATCGCCTGCTCTCGGCGCCGTATGCTCGTTCGTTGGCGGCATTTGTTGCGCCATCTCTTGTCTCCCGTGCGAAACGGCGCCGTGTTGTTTGCAGACCGGTGGCGTCGCTGCGTTTCCATAGGAGCTAAGCCTTTTTCTTTTACTTTTTCCTCGGGTAAGTTCGCTCTTCGCAAATTTTACAAAAAAACTGCACCATCTGTGGGCAACGCTGCACAAAGTCGTAGCGCTTAAGAAACCGAATTTTCTGGTCGATTTAAAGAGCCTGCCGTCTCCTTGTTTCACCCTGTAGAATTACTCACCCTTTCATCGAAATTTTGGTCACTGAATCATACAAGATAACTGCATAGAAATTGATGGATGTACGACTCATCGTGTTCCGACAAGTCTTTTTTCAATTTTGTATTTATAGGTTTACTTTTGTTTTCATTCTATTATAGGAGAGGAGCTTCCTACTGTTCAACAAGGCGGTGTTCGATGAAACGGCGTTCGATGAAATGTCCGGACCCAATTATATACAAGTACTTGAGCCCCAATAATCCACACCTAAAGCCACTGGATCTTGGGGACTGCTTGGGGAAGTAGGGGCGCAAACTACTCTTACAACAGGCTAGATGGAAAAAGAACACTATAAAACGAATTTACAACGAAGAAAAAAAATTAGAGCTATATTTACGGCGCAAAACAAATTCGTAGTTGGCGCCAGTGGAGCCGCCGCTGGTCACGTGGTAGGCCCGCGCGCCGCTGCGCTGCGTCGCCGCCGCCGCAAAGTCACGCCGCCGCCGCACGGCGCACGCTGAGCGTTGTGCGACGCCGCTTCAACGAGTTTCTCCACGCCGCCGTCGCCGCCGCCGCCGCCGCCGCGCAAGTTCGTCTGCTTCGGGGCGCCGCCCCCGACATCTGACCGGCGATCACGTCCGCTTGCGCTTTTTCAGGAGTTTCCTTTGGGCTCTAAAAGCTACTTATTAATCTTAGTTTTGTGTTATACTTCAAACAAAGATGAATAAGTTACTTTTGGAGGCCATAGGAAGCTTCCGAAAGAGCGCAAGCACCACGTGACAAATATGGGCCCGTCACGTGATAAACAAGGGTCACTTTTCCGTGACGCCCGCGGGCGCCAACTTCAAATTCGTATAGTGCCGTAAATATAGCTCTAAACATTTTTTCTTCGTTGTAAAATCTTTTTTTTTTTTGACATCCTTTTTCCATCTAAACTGTTAAAAAAATGTTTTTTTTTCCTTTGCATGTGTTCTTTAGGACAAGACTCCGAGACTGGGAGAGAACGAACAACGACACAACACGCAATGTTTCCAGTCTTGGGGGGACATTTCGGTGTAGGACGTTTCGGTGTAGGGTGTTTCGGTGCGGTCTTTTCGGTGCACGAACTTTTCGGTGCGCGGACATTTCGGTGCACGGACTTTTTGGCGTGGGACTTTTCGGTGTGCGGACATTTCGGTGCATGGACTTTTCGGTGCACGGTCATTCAAAATCGCGAGTTTTTTTTTTTTTTTGTATTTTTTTTTTCTAAAAGTTATAAGCACTATTTTAGCTAGAAATGATTTTTCTTCGCACTTTATAAATTTGTGGACTTGGTCATCCATTTACGGTCACTTACTCATATGCGTACGCTGGAAAAGAGACATCGACAAACGAACCACAAAGTCCAACGTCTTCAATCCTCACGTAGGATGGTACTGCGCCTAACGAAGTCCCTTAGGCGGTATATCAGTGAGTGGCCGTAAATGAATGACAAAGTATAAAAAATTTTAAAGTGCGAAAAAATAAATTTCTAGCTAAAATAGTGCTTATTACGTTTAGAAACAAAAACAAGAGAATTCGTGATTTTGATTGGCCGTGCACCGAGACGTCCGTGCACCGAAACGTCCTACACCGAAACGCCCTACACCGAAAAGTCCTAGACCACCTTAAAACACGTTCTCGCTGTGTAATGTGGCCATTTTGGTCCATAGAATGAGTATACTTTCTTTTAGACCTCTCCATTCTTGGTGAGCCGGTCCAAATTTCCGTTGAGAGGTTCCTATATAAAAGCATTCCTCGTACACCAAGATTTTTTTATCCACACATCGGCGAAGCAAGAGCACATCTTGGCAATTAAATGCCTTCCCATGCGGCGTTTGGCCCCCCCTCTGACGCAGAAGTCTGCGCACGCCTGTGGTGTCGTCAGTGGGAGGGGTCTCCAAACCCCGGTCCACGGAAGTCTCCCGAGTCCCGACCGACCGCGGCTGGCAGCGGTCTTTTCAATGAAACCCGGCCCACGGCCCGCGTCAGCAGACCCGCTGCTAGCGGCGCAGAAAGAGCCATGCGCCAAGAAAAGGTGCCGCGACGCGCTCTGAAAGAACGAGGGAAACTGCAAACTACATTACTATTCTTAGTCTCCCGCATCATGTCTGTGTAACTATGTTAAAATTCCATTCCGTTATCATTTACATTGCGCTTAGTGTCCTATGTCACATCCATCTCATGTTGTCAGCATTAGTTTTATATCATTCTCGTTCTCACGTCACACAAGCCTCCTGGGCTTTGACGGACCCGAATTTTGTACAAAAAAAGTTATAAATTATTATTAGTAGTAGTAGTAGTAGTAGCAGTAGTAAGGTCACGCACCGCCTAATTGATTCACCATACTTCTTGTCTCAAGTGAGTCTTAGAGTTCCACACTAACGTCGTACACGTCTTCAGTCATCTTTTTATATATATCTCTCGAGCTTTTAATCAAATAGTCCTAATGCTCGGGTATATTTGACACGTGCCTATTGGGCTTTCAATCAATTTATTGTAAACCTGTTCATGCTTGAGCAGGACTAAAAAGGGCTGAATGTCCGACTGTGTGAAATTTATTGTTTTTACAATATGTGTGCGTTGCAGATGTCTCGCTGCTTCGCATTTACTTTGCACGCTTTAACTTTCCTTCGAACAGATGATTCTCACCAACAGAATTCGTATCTTTGATACCCTTCTGCATTTGTTGCGTCTTGTGTAAAATGGTATTTCTTGCTTTTTTATTAATTTGTAGTTTGAAGTGGGCCAGCACCAAAACCGCGAGGTTGTTCCTGGACACTATAATAAACATTGATTGATTGATTATTATTAGTCTTTCTCACTGCGCGAATGTGCCGAAGTTCCCATGTGCTTTGATTTATGCCAAGCTTTCTTGGTCACACGTGTTGTCTAATGTCATTTAGCTAAATATTAACTTTCCATTCGAAGTGTATGTATTCATCCACTTTAGTTTTTTTTTTTTAATACCTACTCTAACAATTATCAGTGTGTTTAAATGCTTATCTAAGTTGATTTACTTAGTTTTACTTCGTGGTTCGCTTGTTCGTTTTTTGTAAAGATAAGAGTGGCTGCGAGGTCAAAGAATGTTCCCTTCGGCCGGTGTTTTGATGTGTGTGTACCTTTTGTTAATTCAAAGTAGTTCTTTTTTCTTTTTTTTTAAAGATTAGCGTGGCTGCGAAGTAAAGGCGTGTCCCCTTGGTGCCATTGTTTGGAGTGTTTTTTTTTTTTATGGTGACGATTTTGGGTTCAGGATGTATAAGAGGAGGGAGCACTGGGATAAAGTGGTTAGCTGTGTTTGAGATGTCGTCGGGTTTCTTCCACCCAGTCTCAGGTGGTCTAACAAAATGGTAAACTGCCTGTCGCCGCGCCGGGTTCGTACGCTGACTGCGGCGAAGACGATTATTCCGATACAAGCAGCGTTTATTGGAACAGAGGCCCCCGAAGCACACTAGCCGAGCGCGTGGTGGGCACGCCGCACGTGTAAGCCTAGAACCACAGCCGCCGGGGAGTCAATGCACTCTCGCCCACGTCGTTCGCATACAAACTATGGCCACGGTCTTTGAATCAGCAAGCAGCGCGCGCAAAGTCTCCACCCTCATGCGCGCATACTCCGTCTAGGCGGGGGCGGCGGGGGCCCGGTGGAAGCTCGAGCGTGTTGTCGCCGTTCGAGAGCGCCGAGAGCCAGCCGAAGCAGCTGGGGCGGTTGCCGTCTCCCCGAGTTCGTACCTGCCGCGCGGGACGTCCGAGAGACGGCGAGGGAGGCGTCCGGAGACTGCGAGGAGGGCCCTTTTCTCCCTCTCTCGAAGCGAAGTCCTCACGGCGAGTCAGCACACGCCCACATTCCGGCACCAAGGACGCCTCCGGCTGGCGTGACGCTACAGCCGCTCGGCGGCAGAAGTTCCGACTTGCGTTGCATGCGACACGTGACCGCCACAACCGGCGCAGCAGACGCCAGAGCAGTCGACGACGTCAACGAAGTCACGGGCGACTCATTCACGGTTGCCGCGACGTGCACGCGGCCGGCCGCGTGTTGTGTGCCCGATTCGGGTGTTGGTGTCTGTGTGTGAATATCGACGTCAGCCGTGAATTGTGTGCGCCCCGTTCGACGACGCCCGCCGCCGACGTCGTTTGAGGTGTTCCGCCAAGCTGGTCTCCCCAGCAAACCACCAGGATCGGATTCCCGCCGCGCAGGTGAGCTGGGGGGGAGGGGGGGGGGGGGGGGGGGGGTTAGGATTGGGTTTGGGTTGGGGGACACGCACGCGCAGATAAGCGATTTCGAACTTTTGACGAACTACCCTGACGCTAGCGGATTCCACGTCGGTGTGTCTGGCTCGAGCGCGGATGCGAGTCTTCCCATTAATTTGCTATCAGTTTTATAAAAGTGATAGTAAAAGGTGATGGGTAAATCTGCCAGTCCCGTTCGATGGGGCGCCCCGCTTGGAGAATGGGATCACCCAAGCGGTCGTGCAGTGCGACGGCGGCAGCAACAGTCGACTCGCTGGGCTCCGCAGCCGGATGTGCTGTATATAATGCTCCGGCCCGACTGTGCCATTGTGCCTCTCGCGTGCTGGATGAAAAACCTTGGCGCGGCTTTCGTCACCGGCCACTACAAACCATCGCTGACTGCGTTGTGCGCTTGTGTTGCTGTCTGGCTGGAATCCAAAGGGCACTTCGTTTTTCTTTTATGTGTTTGTTTTTTTCTTTTCTGCACACGGAATTGTTGATGGATTTTCCGCGAAATTCAAAATACGAGGAATGTGTTACTTTGTAGTAAGCAATATCTCTTCTGTATTCCGATTGTGGGGATGCTCAAGAAACTTACGACCTCTGTGACAAAAACTGGGTCGTGCCTCTTGCGATACCGAAGCTTGTTTCGACCATCTTACAAAAAGGAATACGGGACATCATCGCACCGCATCACGTCCCACATTGCCCTCAGCCTCCCTAAAACAGCGACACAAATCTTCGGCGATGTTTTCTCTTTTTTTCTTCTTTTTTTCACCCTCGCGTCACCCTCTTTCATTAATCGACGTAATTAACTTATTAGACGATGAAGAATTCTCGGCGAACACTTCTCGGGTATTTCCTGGTCAGTGGTAAATACCCTCCTGGAGCGAGCACCCAAAAGCTCCGGAAAACCACCGATGTCGCCGACCGCTTTGTGGGAGCGCCGTCATTGCAGCTATCGTGCACGACGCATGCTTTGTCGACGCAGCAGTTCGAGACATGATTTTGTTTCTGGGTTGTTCAGTCTTCTTTATTTTTTCATTTTTTTGCCGGTTAACATCAGTAAGGCAGCTGCAATACACCGATGAAATGAACAAAGGCGGCACGCGGACAGAACAATAACTATTCAGTGGAACGTTGTTTGATGTCAGTGTCGATTGACGGCTGCCGCAGTACGTGTCCCGGGATTTGGCGCGCTTATCGGAGGCAAACAGACGCGGCCCCCGGTTCCTCGTTCGCCTATCGTCGCGAGCCCTCGGGTTCAGACGGCGAAGCCTCTTCAGACCGCACGACGATCGGATGCAAAGTCCACGATCATCGCGCCGAGATACGACGCCGAGAACGCGTCGGGGTACAGACCCTCGACAACGTCCTTGTTCCTCATTCTCACTAGCCTTTCCGGAATAAAAAAAAAAAAAAAAATACTTATGATCGGGTATAATAAGACGCGGAGATAAAATCTTGATTGCCGTTTAGACCAAACACAATCCGTGATTTCATGAATGTGGATCCATATGCCTCGTTGTAAGATCGAACTTGTTTTCCTCAGAGCTCGGTCGCAACGGTGGACTTACGGGTCAGGCTTGGGCGGGGGGAGGTAGATGACGTTACAGGCGAAAGGTTACCCAGATCTGTTTTGTTGACCTAATATTTGTTATTTCAACGAAAACAAATATCTTTTTAAACAAAATTGTTATTGGCTGGGGGAGGTCTATACTTTTGCGGTATGAGCCCGGCTGCGCTTTCTTGGGGTTTTACCTTCCTTTCCCGAGACGCGATTCACACTGAGGCGGAATTTCCTTTCTCTCGCAATTTGGAATCCTTTCAAGTTTCAACAAATTATAGAAAAAGACGTATTTTACTGACGGCGGTGGCGATAACCATTTTCCCCCCTTTAATATTGTGATTTTTGGCCCTATGGTTGTCTCGTCGAGCCAGGTAATGAAGGCAGGAGTCGGGGACGTGGAAGGGGGGGGGGGGGGGGGGGGGGCGGAGTGAGTGGTAGTAGTATAAAACGCTTATTTGGACTGCTTTGGCATTGAGGCCAGGACCCGTATGGGACAAGGGAATTATATGTGCACTTCTGTGCCAGCTTCGTGGATATAATCCAGAAGCGTGCGTAGAGTTTGGTATTGCTTGTCTTGAGGGCCTGGGGGGAAGACCCAGCTCTCCATGAATGTAACCCCGTCCTGTAGGTAGTTCTTCCGTGTTGCCTCAAGTCCCGCGTGAATTCCCGGATACGGGCTTAACGATGAAAACATTACAACTAACTCGAAGAAATGATAAAGAAAAATATCTACCGTCGCCCGATATCTTATTTTATGTATAGGTTAATTTTTTTTTATGCCATCCAATATTAGTAGCAACTAAAGTGCATTACATCTTGCGCACCCTTTTTGATGCATTCTGTGTGTATTCGCAGATGTTAAAGGTAATTAACGGGGTTCTCACAATTCAGTCTTTGAACAACCGGGCACTAGGAACACAGAGAGAGGCACACGGGGTGTAAGGTTCGGCGCGATCACTTTTCGTTCGGACGTCAGGAATGACACTGCGAAACCGCGGGGAACGCCTGCACCGGCTGGATTCAGGAATATCAAATTGCTTTTCCGAGCGTGCCCGAGCGCCGTACTATACGGGGGTGTCTTGTTCACGTTTTTGTTTTCACACGGTACTATTGCACTGTCGTGTGGCAAGAAAGCGGTGCTTGAGACCAGACGTGAGAGTCAACGAATGATAAGAGCGAAGGCAAGGTGACGTTATATTTAACCAATGGCGTTAAAGAAAAATAATGTCAGCGTCGAGCAATGTTTTCTATGAGTTTTGTTTTCTAAAGAAGAAGCTGGCGGCTATTGCCCGGCTATTTCTGTCGCTCCAGCGGCAGCTTTCTTGTCTGGAGCTAGATGGCCGACTCCACCTCGAGTAGCAGCGGAAAGGGTCTCCGCTGCGTCAAGAAAGTTCCCTTTTTGATTTGTAAAACTTCACCTACATTTATTTTATTTCCCTGTGCATAAACCTATTTACTCCCCCATCAACAACCGACTTCACATCAACGACATTATCGGAGTCATCGAGAGTCCACCACCGCCAATAATATTTCTTCCCGGCAGTGGCGTAGCCAGGACTTTCTTTTGGGCCGGGGAGGAGGAGGAGGAGGAGGAGGAGGGCTGGGAGCTGAAGCCTGGCTACACCACTGCTTCACGGCGTTAATGTTTGTCCCTGTGTGTACGTCCCTCGCCTCCGGCCCCCGGAGTCGTCGGGTTCAAAGGGTCCTTCAAACAATCATGCTTGCGTCAAGAAAGATGGGCAAAAAGCTGCAGCAAGTGCGGCTTGACGGGCCACCAGCCTCGTCAAGCTGGTATCACGTGCTATCAGACACCTCAAGTCCAGCACGAGTACTCACGGTCGGCTCGAGCTCTGTCCGGTCAGTCGGGTCGGAGTCGGGCTTCCGGCTCAATCCCGGGCGAGCGCATACCTTCCGAATACGCAGCCGGAGGCGTGATGCTCGAATACTGTCGAAAATTGCGCGACATCAGCGGGCCATCATGTCGTATTACACCTGAGACTGCGGTGGAAGAAATCGGAAGAACTTTCAGTAGAAGGAACAGACACAGAGAACGTCTCAAACACAGAGAACGTCTCAAACACAGAGAACGTCTCTTTTGAGACGTTCTCTGTGTCTGTTCCTTCTACTGAAAGTTCTTCCGATTTCTTCCACCGCAGTCTCAGGTGTAATACGACATGATTAGCTACCACCAGCTCGCCTGCACTCTCACCGTCTTTTCACATCAGCGGTCCGTCGCAATTTACTCGCGAGAAATAGCAGCTCGGCGTAGGACACACAACTGTTGTCTGCAAATTTGGTTCTTCACTCGAACACACTTCGCAGCGCCGGTCAAGTTTCGAATGGGAGCTTCGCCAGGCAACAAGGCACAAATCTGCGGCCATCACGCTAAGGCAGTGAGTGGCGTTGCCGTGGAGACGCGCGTGCGTGATGATGTTTAAACTTTTAAGACTGGGAAGGAAACGGAGGTATGTTAGATATATTAGAATTGAGGCGATTGTCTGTCACCTTTCTTCTGTGCCTTCCAGTATATTTTCAAGTTTCCTTCGCAGTCTCAGGGTTTAAACATCGTGATTCACACGCACCAGCTCGCCTGCACGTTGGCCATTTTTTTTTCACTAAGTAACGCGTGAATCCTTCGCTCTCCGAGAAAGAAAATGACTGCCGTGCATGAGCAATGGCAACGCATCCTGTGGGCAAACGCGCTTGTAGCCGACGTAGTAGTTGCCTTCCTTTTTTTTATTTTGGTTCTTTTTGTTTCAGCGATTTTGTACCTCCCCGACTCCGGTCTGCATTCTCGGCGGTTTCACTGACCCAATAGACTCTTTTCAAAAGTGTGCGCCATCTAGCGGCTGCTGCGTCGATATATTCGAGTTGTTTGGCGACGTATACTCTGAACACGTGTTGGACACTGTCACAAAAAAGTGTGGCACGGCGCCTTGGAGATCGTGGGCTCTTCCTCCTCAAAAGGGACACTTGTTTTATTTTTTTTTTCTTGCCCTCTTGCTTTTCGAGCCGCGAGTTGTCCTGTCCGAAGCTCCGGTGACCGTCCGGCGATCGGGTTACTAAAAGGACCCGATCGTCGGAATGGGGGAATGCTCTGGAATTGCTAAATAAGATAATGTTTTTTTTTTTCTTCTTTTTTTGGCACCGGGACGTCTGGGGTTGTGATGACTGTTTTGGCGCTATAAGGGGAAGACGCGGGTTTTATTTATCTTCTATTTTTTTTTTTTTTTTTGAACGGTCTGTGCGTTAACGTCGCGCCAGTCAATCTAGAGAACTAGCCGTAATCAGCCGCTTGGACCCTTCGACTCCGGACGTCGCCCTTTGGGCACCGCGGCACCGAAATCAGTCTGATCACGAAGTAGCTATCTTCGTGCGCCAGCCCGGCGAGTCCTTC